ACTGAGAACCTTCACAGACAATGTAACAATAATTTCTCAAATAATTAAAAACCACTGACAGGTGAAGTGGATACCATTGATCATCCTGATGTTATAGGTCCACAAAAGTTGTAATCACGTTTTATTACAGCTAGATGATTTTTTTCATTAATGACATTGATGATTTTTCAAATGCCTCTTCGATTCTGCTTGACAACCAATGTAACAGTGACATTGGGTCAACTATCTACATTTGTTGGTGTGCTGGTTTTCAAAAAAACATGCTTTGCATACATATGACTATTAATGGTAATCTTTATGTATCTCTATCTAACTTTTGGAATGTATTTATTTATTTAACCTTTTAAAAATGGTTTTAAAAATAGTTACGTTGTGATATTTTTGTTAAATTTAAGGTGTTTTGTGTGCATAGTGGCTGTTTTTTTTTTTTTTTATTACCCTTAAGCTAAAAAAAGGGTGATGGGTGTTTGTCATCACCCTGCTGGGCTGACAGCCAACATGGACACCTAAGTTTGTGAATGCGATAACTCAAGAACGACGTAACGTAGCAGCTTCAAATTGATACCATAGGTATATCTACTAGGAGGCTGAGAGGTATCACTGGAGGCCTCCAGTATTTTTATATCTGGTTATGCTGAGTTATTAGTTTACTTTACTGTTCCTGAACCCTTCAACATGTGGAGTTTGTTTGATCATGAAAAAGATGGCCCTACATTAAATCTGATGCTGCACGGCTACTAGCTAGTTCCCCAACAGTTAATGTTTGTTTACATGTTCATTTTAAAGCCGGTATTACATTTAGCTATTAGTATGATAGTTTATAAAAGCATATAAAAACCTTAGTAAACTAGTTAGAAAGATAAAACTAACAGAAACAGAGTTGCTACAGTTGTTTGCATGCTTGTTGGAGTATACATACAATCCCAATTGCAAATGCCATTTGATCAGCCTCCACTTGTCTTGGTAGGCTCATCACAAGATTTTGGTATTTGAGTGCAAGAATGTTCTCCTGTTGAGGATCAGAAGTATTTGTGAGGTCAGATACTGTGGCAGTAAAGCCAGAATCACCATTGATTTTCTAATTCATCCCAGAGCAGTGCAGTCAGGCTGTATCTCTCTGTGTGCTGTCTGCTTTTTCACTCATTTACAGTCAGTGCAGTACCATTTTCATTTGTCTTGTTGTTGTTGTTGTTGGGTTTTGTTTTGTTTTTTTTTGTTTTTTTGTTTTTGTTTTTTCCTTAAGCCACTTAACACTGATCTATGGATCATTCAAGCATATAAATGGCAGCTAACACAATGGATGAACCAGTGTTGTATCATAACACACAACTTAGCAAGGAAACTATTTTAAATTGTTTTTTTAGGCACTTTGTTTATATGAGCTGATGCAAAAACACATAACAAGTTCTGCTTTTTTTAATGAATGTATGATGAATATAACACAGTTTGACAGGCATAAAATAGTGTTTCTCCCAAAGATCTATTACCAGAAACCGAATCTCACAATTATATCACGATATTTAAAAGAACTCTTCAGGAACTGTACAGTCATACTGTCACATGATAAAATAGGTTGTTGTAACTTTTGTCAAGCTTTTTAAACAGCTGCTTAAAGCACTCCTTTCCCACCATGTAACCATCCACTGCTTGCTCTTGCTGTCCTGACAAATGCTCACAAAAACCTGATATTTCTTGTTTTAAATTTACATATATTTCCTTGTTTTAGCAATTAATAGCATACATGAATGTTTTTCGACTGCCTGTAGGTGGCAGTACTGCATTTAGAAGTGGTTAACCTATCTCCATTAAACAAACAAAAAACCTGTTACCAGCTGCCAGCGTGTCTGAACAGTGACATTTGATTTTTACTACACAAACAAAAGAAGAAACTTAAAGACTAAAAGGTTGCAACAACTGTTAAGTGGTTCTGCAAAATTCAATGAAATCTCTGCCAGAAATAGCTAGCATGTAATTTGGGAGTGTAGCGCGATGGAGAGCTTTTTAAAAAAAAAAAGGGTGGAACATCCCACCACACAGGTTAGTTTTATAAGAAATGGACTATTAGCATTGAAAATGAGCCCAAATCATTAGAAAAAATTACCTTTAACTTTTCCGTATACTTCTTTGTCTTTGACATGAAAGCAGTCTCACAAATTTTTCATTTTTCTGATCAGTCTACATTCTTACAGCCAGCAGCACAGCGCCCTATAAAAATAAATAAATGCATAGCTATGAATGGTACTCAGAATTTAATACTCATCTCACTTCTCAGGAAATACAAATACTTTCATAGCAAGAACTGCACTGCTTGATAGGTGAGACAAATGGCTCCCCCACTAACTTGTAATGGGCAGAGCCTTTTTTTTAGCTTTTGAAATTCTAGGTCTATTTTCTTTAAGTGTAAGTGAAATACAGACAGGCTGTTAGAGGAGAGACAGTGGGGGTGGAGTATGGAGGGAGGTGAGATCTGAAAAATTGAAGATGGATTTCAGAGGGAGTGGTGTGTGGGCATCAGAATGCTGATGGTGCAGGAGAGCGTGCAACTTGGGAAATCTCTAGTCTGTATCGTTTCTCCACTTAAACATTAGGATCAGTTTCACTGTTAGGCTTTCATGAGTGTCCTAATGCCTCACACACTTTTAGGTTCATGCATGTCATGCATGTGTATTTATACAATTAACTAATGATTGATCATCATCAACAACAAACTACTCATAACAACTGCGAAGACATTTTGCTATGCAGTTGCATTTCAGTAAATTACATAATCTCTAAGATTATTGTTATAACCTTCACATTTAAAATGAAAAGGGTCTGTTTTTTTAATTTATTTGTTTTGTTTTAATATGGAATTCAAATTGTTTGGAAAACAAAAAAGAATACCATAAGGAAGTTTCTGTTAACAATAATGCTCAACAGAAATCATTTCACTGAGCAATACCAAGATAATTGAACACAGAGAGAATTATTTTACTTTGCTGGCTTTAATGCACAAGTGACATTCATCAGAACGGAAATGATTGAAAGCACATAATTGATGGGAAATGCTTTTCTTTTTCTTTGTACTGTTTTGCACTTACAACTCATTTTAATCTTAAGAATTTATAACACAGTCTAAGTCTTATCTGTCTCAAGAAGATAAAAAGTAGATCCAATCACTTTTTTGTTTTTTGGGTTTTTTCTAAGCATATTTGCCTCTGTAAGGCATCTTTCCCAATGGCTTATGGTGTTACATTGTGCTGTTATCTGCTCTGGAGTCTGTTCTAATTGTTCATAATTTTATTTAGCTAATCTAAATGAAATAAATATGATGGAGATACAACACATATGAAAACATACATGTTATATGAACATGCTGCATTCAAAACCTGGATAATCAGTATGGACTTATAGCACAGTGGTTGTAAGGTCATTATTTTCCCACATGCAAAATGCAGGTCACCTTTTATATCCTGAAGTAAGAAGTAAGATAAGACCTCCAGACAACTCTGATCTTTGCATGTATCCACCACGACTTTCCCCTGTGCTGTAACATCACTAGAACAGTGTTAAGATGGTTCTGGCAGTGCAAGATTTGTATCTGGACTGTTTCCTCACCTTTGCACAGGATAGCAAGGTTACAGAATAGCACTGATGCCGGTCTCATCTCTGCAGGAAGAATAAGATGCGATATTCCCCATTCAGAAATGGCAAAGTTTATCAGCCTTTGAGAAAAGCATCATGTTATGGTATTGTGTTGCATCTCAGATGCATTGCTTCACATCAGTGAGCTGCAAGTATATAGTTCTGGTGCAAAAAACAGTGAGAGCACTCCTTTATCCAGAAACCTTTACATGCTTACAGTGAGTGTGGGCTTCAGGGCAGTTACAGACCTGTCCTCACCACTAAACTGTCCAAATCTAGTGTGTTCCTGAAGGTAGTGGTGATGGATTATCTGCCCTCCAGAATTCTCAATTATTCTCCTCCCCTCTGTGGACTGGCAATTAAGTTTGTTATTGCCGCAGGTGATTTAAGTGCGACTGACAGACTAACATATGATTTTTTATTTATTTATTTTTTTTGTAGGCTAAATGATTTTTTCTTGTCACTCGGTGCTATTAGTCTTTTCCTCCCTTCTGTGTAGTAGTCAACATTTGTTATTTAGGAATATATAAATGACCTAAAAACCAGTTTCATCTTAAAGTTGTTATAATACAATGAGAAATACGAAACAGTACATTACTATTTTAATTTATATAAACTTTAACTATGTTTGATACCATTTTTAATTTCTCATGCCACTGTTTTCTCCTCTTCTGTCCTTCTAATTCATTTTTGTGAAAAAACATCACAACGGTGGTAATTCAGCCCACTGGAGTTTTAAAGTTGCATTACATATAAGCAGTATTTATTAAAGGTAGATGATTAGAGCGTTAGTGTAGTAATTAATTAATAACAGAGGCTTTGCAAATGAAAGGAGCCTAAAAACAAATATTTGCATGTGCAGAATCTGCTTTCTTTTCCTCTGACGTCGGTTCTTGTCTGTCTTTGCTTTGGCCTCATGTGGATATCTCCCTCTTTGTGTAAGATAAAGGACCTGTCTATAGTGGTTTCTATACTGTTTCCTCTGGCATCTCATCAGATATCACAGTGAGCAGGATCAGGATCCATTTACTGTCTTATAAAACAACCGGTCCCTTGCCAGTTTGGTACAAAATGATTCCATAAACAAAGTCACAATGTCTGCCCCAGTAAAAGGCCTTATGGGAGGAATGACACCTTATGAGCAGTTTACGCTCCTGGCCTGGAGTTTTTTTTGGTTTTTTTTTTTAGCTCCGTCTTTTTCACTCTTCTTCTTGTTTTCTCCTCCCTCTGTCCTTTCATCTAATTATGTTACTACATCATATTCATTACAATTCTAAGTGATATGTAATCATTGCCAAATGTAATAGAGTGAAGTCATCTGTAATATTATTAATAATATGACCTCTTTTCTGTCTCTCTCTCCCTCTGCAATCTAGTTGAGGAAGGCAGTGATGGACCACATCTCAGACTCTTTCCTAGAAACCAACGTCCCTCTGCTGGTGCTTATTGAAGCAGCTAAGAGTGGAAACGAGAAGGAGGTCAAGGAGTACGCCCAGGTGTTCCGTGAGCACGCCAACAAGCTGGTGGAGGTCAGTCATGAATTAAACACGGGGGCACAAACACACACGTACACATGCTCACTGATTCTCTTACTTTATATTAAATGACGCATAGCAAGAAAAAAATATATAAAGTTTCTAACTTTACATTTTACATTTAAATGAAAGAGTGAGCAGGCAAACTGCAACTGAACATGTAATAATTTAAAAAATGTAGAGGTAGGGTTTTTTTTTACCTTTTCATTTCCCTATAAATAAACTATTTTGCTGGACTGAAAATAATATTCTGTGTATTAAATGCACTAACAGAAGCAAGTGTGCATGCTCATGTGCACTTGACAATTAGTCATTGTCTCTTTGGCTTGGTTGGCCGAGTAGTCTTAGCTGCATGGAGACGGTATGAAGAGGTTTGACTCTTGCTTAAAGAAGTATTAGGTTAAAAAAAATCCTTTTTACTACCTGACTGCATCCTAATTTGAGGCGTTCAATTATGCTAAGTCATAGACAGTGAATGGCATGCTGACCAAAGGTCTTCACAGTGGCCTGTCTGAACTGCTACCAAAATTTTAAGGCTGCATTGAGGAAGTTATAGTCCATCTCTCTTTCTCTTTTACTGACTAAGTCTCCAAGGCCAATCAAAACCTCAAAAACCAGATTACTGTGAACTGCTTCTAACCTTTTGGGGAATAAGTCCAAGTAGTTTAGTCATATGCATCTGATTCATTTTACTGCTGAACAGCCATTTGCCTCCCTTCATCTCTACATACAAAGCATAGTAGAAACGACACACTCACACACATTCTAAACCCAATACACTGTCGCCATGCATGTAGCCTAACAAAATATGCGTAAGGTTGAAGCTATATGCCAATAGCACATATGGTACACGAGCCATTATGGCAGCGATAAAGACAGTGTTACTGACAAACATTTAAGGATAACATTATGTCAGACATGCTTCTGTGTAGTTTCTGTAACGTAATAAAGCCAAGCTGCATCTTGTGCCTTATCCATGTGAATGAATGGAAAAGACTCATTAAGCCTTCATGCTCGACTTTGAGGGTGCCTAAAGTTTCTGGTTTAAAAAAACCCAACCTGTGACCTGGGAACTCGGTATGGGGTATATTTTTTGGTGTAATTTTGGTGGTCTCACCATACGGAGGTTATTTGTGAGGGTCTTGAGGGGGTAAAAGTGTTCCAGTAGCTAGGAATCTGGTATTGGGGGTTTCTTGGGCAGACGTTGTTGAATGACGAGGTGCCCTATAGGGATCTATTCCAGTCCATTTTAAACGGACTGTCCAAATACTAGGCAGCAAGGTGGCATGGTGGTTAGCACTGTTGCCGCACAGCAAGAAGGTCCTGAGTTCATTCCACCATCAGGCCGGGGTCTTTCTGTGTGGAGTTTGCATGTTCTCCCCTTGTTTGCGTGGGTTCCCTCCGGGTACTCCGGCTTCCTCCCACTGTCCAAAGACATGCAATTAGTGGGGTTAGGTTAATTGATTAATCCAAATTGCCCATAGGTGTGAATGTGAGCGCGAATGGTTGTCTGTCTCTGTGTGTTAGCCCTGCGACAGACTGGCAACCTGTCCAGGGTGTACCCTGCCTCTCGCCCTATGCCTCGCTCCAGTGCCCCCCGCGACCCTGAAAAGGACAAGCGGAAGCGAATGGATGATTGGATGGATGTCCAAATACTAATTCATCAGTAATTTCCCAGCATCACTGTAAAGATGAATGGAATATCACAAAATATCCATGAGAAATAGTGAGAAAGCTTAAAAATGTGGAAGAATATGTGTTGTGTTTCACTTGAAGTTGGTTTTAGGACATTCCATATTGCTTTTATGAGGTTTTCGTTTATTGCCCATCCACTCAACGGCAGGAAGATAGCGGATGGAGTCCTGTGATAAATGTCTGTGCCCTTTGATGGGAGTTGCCTTTTGTTCTCATGGTCCATTCAGGGGAGCCTTTAGAACCTTTAGAGCCTTTATGTGGGCCTCTCGTAAAATACTGTCACTTAAAACAGCACTCTAGCTTTCGTTGACTTCAGCTGAGCGAGTGAGTGATTTGTGTGCCCTTTTGGTTTCCCCCAGCTGTTTGTTGATGAGAGGAGTCCTGACTGATGCTACACTCGAAATCTGTGCTTTGCATACAGCAATCTTAAAGCTTTCTGTAGCCCTGGGACATTTCAGGCAGATGAATTCTTTTCTCCTTATGAAGAAAAAAGGAAGAAACGTTGCCTTGTGTTTATATGCAGTTGTTTGTATGCATTGAGTTGGCTGTAAACCCCAGTCAAACCTGAGGGCAGTTTATCAGCTGTACATTGGTTTGTTGCAAGTTGTTTTTGGCTTGTTGCAAGTGGTTGTTAGCAGGTACAAAATCCAGATCAGCTGTGTGTGCAAATTATTTTATCGAATAAAATGAAAAATATTTATGACATAGTTGTTTCTAGCTGCGAACACATAATGTCCACATTGTAATGGTCTTGGACGTTAAAATTGTATTACAGTATCATGAGCTAGTTCTACACAAACTCTTTTTTTGGTATAAAGATGATATTTTCCAATGAAGACTGATTGACAAAAGATATTTTCATGCCCCAGAGCTCTGTAGGGTTAAATTGGTTCATCAAATGCAACCTGCAGTGCAGCACAAGCATCTAAATTTCCGTTCATGAGATAATGAGGTGCTATGTCAATAAAGTTCTCTTACAGTGCTCAAGCCGTGATTGTATGCCTACATTTATGGTTTCTTTTGAGTGATTGGAATTAGTTATTATTGTGGCAGAACACTGACTCGGCTGTCACGCAGTTAAGTTTTTTAAGCAAACTTATTAAAGGAGCTTATAGAATAGTGATCAGCTCATTTGAGCATTTTTCCTTCATCAGATTTAATACTAAGGAAGCATTAAATTTGATGTTTGAATGATAAATTGATTTGATTCTTAGATAAGTGTCAGTGCTGCAGTTAGAGAAACATTATTTTAAGTATTCCAATTAAAACTTCAAAACATAATGTGCAACACATATTAGCAGCTTTGTAAGCGCATGTTTCATCTGAGAAAAGTGAACCACTATGTAGCTCATCTGGAAAAGTAATGTACTCACGTGTATCTTACTGACCACTCAAAGTTCTTTAGACTACAAATCACATTTAATCATGCATGTGCATTCATCCAGCTTTGTATTCTATAAGTTTTAAGCACTTTATCTACATCAATCCAAGCCCAATTTTTTTCGAATCACTATTTTACTTAACGTGCATGTCTTTGGTATGTGTTAAGAACCCAGAAACCTTGCTGTAAGGCAGCAATTTTAAACCTATACACCAACCTGAAAAGTATTTCCTGTTTTATCGTTCTTTTCTCTTTGTTCTTCCTTTTTCTCTTCGCTTTGTCCTCACCCTAACTAGTGTAGGCAGATGGCCACCTTTCTGCAGCCTGACTCTGCGAGAGGTTTCTCTTTGTTAAAAGTCGACATTTTCTTTCTCCACATTGTGACCAATTGCTTTTTTTCCTTTGTTTTCTTCTTCTTAGTATTGTCAGGTCTTTACTTTGCAGCATAAAGTACCCTATAAGTACTGTTAAAGACTGTTTGTTGCAAAGAAAAGGTAATATCATATCAAATTAAAAAGTGCCATATGGATATTACAAGTTTAGAGTGTGCAATGAGCAGTGCTGCGCTTTTGTCAGGGTAAGCATGTAAATTACTTGTCCATACTAGCTAATACACTCACGGCTGTCCTATATAGCCGGCAATATCATTGTCTTTCCTGTCATCATCATTATTCGTGCTATCGTAGACATAGTCATCATAGCCACCATTGCAATCCTCTAATATATTATGGTAATTAACATTCTGATGAATGTCACTGCAGTCATCTCCCTGATGTCAGGGAGGAGCTGTCTTAAGCCATTAGAACAGAGTTTGGACACGATCAGAATCAAAGTAAAGTCAAATCAAAGTGCCTCTTTTCATGTCTGCTTGGTTTCCATTTAATTCTGCCCCATTTGGCTCCATAGTATACAATGTGTGTCTTTTCTTTCACCATTGTTCTTTTCTCACTTCGGTGATGAGCAAAGTTTACCCTGAGGACTCACTTAATCACATCATATTTATTACACCAGCTTGACCACTAACAGGAAGTAAATAAACTTTAAGCTGAGGATGTGATTGCCTTAAAGAACTGTAATGACAATGGACCTGCCATAGCCAGGCAAAGATTGTCTGTAACTTCCAGAATTGATACTGTCAGTTGTATCAATTTGGTCACGTTTCCTTTTCTTGTTTTTTGTATGGGATACATGCACAGAGAAATACAGCAATAGCTCCTTTTCAAGTCAGAGAAATACATTTCTGGGTATCTGTGTATCACTATTCTATTAGCACAGATTGTGCTAATTAATTCCCATGACTATCCTTAATGAGGACCTAATACTAACCCATCATCAGTCCAAACAGAAGCATCAGAGGTAACAGCATAAAGAACTTTGACTCCACTTACACAGAAGCTTCTAAGATAAAAGAAATGAAATGTGCAAAAGAAAAAAATACTGTACTATAATATGTCCACTCTCAGGATTTCATGCATACATGCATTACATAAACATTCAATATATCCTTATATATATTTAAGGCATAACTTGTACATAACATGTTGTTGAATCACAAATTTACTGTAGTGCAACTATTTGCCAGTTAAAGTCTAGATATTTTTCCAAGTTGCTTGTTCAGTTCTGGCTGTTATCATTGGAGCTATTTAAATGTTTAGATAGCAATAAACTATTTAAACATGGGGGGGGGGGGGGTTAAATATAAATTCATGAAAAAAAAGCCTTTCAGTACGAACGATAGATCTCTTTTGATCTTTACTTCTAGCTGCTCTTTCCTGACTAACTGTATTTGTCTTGCTGTAATTATTTGTTTTCTACTAAGTACATATGTCCAGTTTCATTTGGACCTTTTCTATTACATCTGCAGACCGAGCTCACCACTGCCCACATGGATGTGCTCTTGTTAATTTAAACACAAGAT